GGTGGGCTGGGCTGTACCGGGGCGGCAGCACGTGTAGCCCGCTCAAGTAATGCAGTAGTTTTTCCAGCCAAGTTGTCCCTGAGCTATGTCCGAGAGCCAGAGCAGGGGGTAAAGTGTTTGAGGAGCGACCCATCCGGCTGGAGGATGGATGGCAGGGACCCACAGTGACGCTCGGACCTCAGTGCATTCACATTCCCGTGCCGGCTGGGGAAAGACGGGGACAGCAAAGCCACCCCACGGCCAAGGGAACGGGAACTGGCCAGCGTGACCCAGGTCATGGAGAAGGACGTTTCTGGCACAGCGAGGGTTTGCTGCCCACGTCCTGCTCCGAGGAGGAGCTCACTCGCTCGCTCCCCGCAATGACCCTTTTCTCAGGTGACCCCAGCGATCACAGAACAAGTAAATCGCTCCCACCGCCCCCTCAAAGTCCAGTTTCAAAGTGATCCCTAACACCAAGCAGAATCACTAAAATGCAATTCAGTCAGCAGCTTTGAGAAAGTGTCCCAAGAACCCCCTTAAGGCTTGCCCACCGAGTGTACAGTATTAAGCTTGCTGGCCAGCTTAGAGATGTTCTACAAGCAGAAGCCATTGCATGATGCCAGGAACCCCCCAAAAAGGATGATCCAGTTAAAAAGCACAGGGATGCCTCCACCCTGCAAAGGCCCTTCTCTGCACTGATCCTAAGATGTCCGTGTAGTACCAGTGCTTCCAAAACAGAGTCCCAGAGGCAGCTTGCAATAGTTTTAGGCTCTTTGCATTGATCCAGTGAAATCAAGGCACCAGCTTGGATTTCATAAGGAAGCACCGACATCAAGCCCGTAGCTTTGGCAGAGAGAACCACAAGGCTTGTACTTCATGAAAGGATCAACTCCTCTGGGCTCAGCTGAACTGTACAATGGCTTCAAAAAGGAAAGAGCCATAGGAGAGCTACAAAAAGATAAAACTCAAGTGTTCTTGGAGGTATTCATTGCTTTAGCTTGAAGTGGGGAGATGCAGGGCCTGCCCTGCTCCTCAGCTCACTTCATATTGGAAAGATCCCTGCTGGACCAGCTTGAAGGAGATGTCCTCTGCAATCCCGCCGAGATTGATCTGGTGCAGGCTCTCCAGCAGTGTGTTCACAGAGGCGTTCATCCCTTGGTTGTTCTTCCACATGTTCAGCATCTGGAAGAAGGGCTCCAGCGAATACTTGTCGTTCATCTCCGCAAGGGCAATGTCGTTCTCCCGCAGACCAAGGGCTCGGCCGTATCTCTTCCAGTCCTTGCAGGGCACTTCTTGGGCAAAGATGTCAAAAGAGGATCGCAAAACTGGAGGGGGGAAAAGGGCAAAGCTCAGAGAACAGGGTAGAGCACGGACAGCTGGGTCAGAAAGGATTCTGCCCAGAAAGCTCATCCCTCAGGCTCACCCCCTCCCCGCGCCCCCGCACATCCCCTGGGCCCCAACACTTACGGGTAATGGGGTCTTTTCCTTGCACTGGGACCAGATTCCTCCTGGGTTTCTCACCGGGACACGAGGTCCTCGGCGCCATCACCTGGAAAGACAACGTCCTATAGCACCCACCAAGGCCTGGCACAAACGCTGTCCCCCAAGCCCCATTACCAGCAGGGTTGGGGACCTCCTCCCTCTCTCGGGGGGCTGTTGGGGCCGGAGATCACCACACCCCCCCAGGACACCCATCGTTTCCCAGCTTTGGGATGGCAGCAGGCCACGAGCAGGGGAGAGCTGCCTCGTGGGTCCTGGCCAGGGAGAGAAGAGCTGTCTGTTTGCGCAGCATCAGCGTTAAATCTGCAGAGGACTCTGGCAGCCGACTGCAACAAGCAGATTTTGTGGTCCTGAGCCCAGAACAAGGACAAGAGACCCCTCGCCCTCTCCGTGCAGAAACCGTGGTCCAGCCCTGCAAACCCCTCCAAGCTGATCAGCTTGGTGAAGGTGGAGGAAAGCATCAGACCTCAGCCGGGTACAACAGAGCAGAGGGGCACGCTCACGTACCTCCGGCCCCGGAGCGCTGGGACTCACTGGACGCGACACGCTGAGGAACAGATGCTCCTGAGAG